TTTTCTTTTTTTTCAAAACCAATCCAGCATCTAGCAATTGGCCACACGCCTTTGCTCTGCGGTAGTTCCACCTCTGAGCGTTTAGATTATGTTATCAGGAGCGCACACATGTGCCCGGGCTGCGTGTGCGTGCGTAAATAGGTGGGAGTTCCCTCGATTATTGTCGACAACACTCTGACCCAAAAAGCTCAATTAGTTCCATCAACATAGCAGAACATTTGAGATATTTTGATTTGTCATCTATTTGGCTCTGTATTATATTGTTGACGCAGTGACGAATTTTTGCCTCAAACTTTCAAATATTTTTCTGTTTATTATTATTTTCAGTTTTTTGTGTGCCAAACAAACAGAAACATTACAACTGTAACATGTCTACTTCATGAATCTTAAAAGTGTTCTTTGCATTTTCCAACCCGCAGAGTGTCAGCACTGGAAAAAAAACTAAATCCAGATAAGTCGTTTTTTTTTTTTTTTAAATAAGTACATTTATTCTTGAATTCAGAATTGCAATATATCCAATTATTTTATTTTAAGAGTAAAAAGATAAATATATATATATATATATATATATATATATATATATATATATATATATATATATATATATATATATATTCCCGTGTTTGTACTTTTGGGGACCGAAGGCTCTTCCTAATGAGGCGGAACCCCATTTTTAACCTTAGAGAGTCAGTTTAGAGGTAAGGTGTGAATTAAATTTAGATTAGGTTTGGGGTTAGGAATGTATTGCTAGGGTTAGGATAAATCTCCGGCCATAAATGCAATAAATAAAATGACTGTAAGCCAATGTAAAGTCTTAAAGTCATATGGATAGAAATTCAAACTTAAGCGTATCTGTTCTTTTTTAAACTTTGGCCCATTTTCTGGAAAAATGGCATGTTGTGGGAATTGAGTTTAGCTTGGTGTTAGGGTTAGGAACATGCAACGGTTAGGTTTAGGGTAACAGTCAATGTTAGGCTGTAGAAAGTCGATGGAAAGGCCTTGCAAAGATAGTGAGAGAAGCTAGTGTGTGGGAGTGTTTGTGTATACAAATCTGCAGAAAGGCCCCAGTTGGCAGAGGCAATAATATTTTCTACAAGCTTCCTATTAGAGCTTAGAGAGAGGTAGTAAGATACCAATGAATTTCTTTTGACTCCCCCCATGCGAGGAGAAGACACCACTGTGTCTTCTCAGGTCACAAAGAAGTAGAGGTGGGTGTTTATCGTAGCGTTTATCGATATCTGGATACGTTTCTAGTAATGATTCATGACTTATTGTCTAAAAAATTAATTAGAATCAATGGAGATTACAAATTCCAGAAACTGGGTAAATAGTCAGAATTTTTTTTTTTTTTTACAATATTTCTCCATTTTCTTAAAAAAAAATTTAAACTGGCAAATAGAAAACTTTGAAGAATATTATTAAATACATGTAATTATGAGATATTTTGTGATATAAATCCTACATTTTATGTAACCGGTGTTCTGAAGAAACTAATTTTAAATGTGCATATTCTTAAAGAATATTATTTGTGATTTTAGGGCTATGATTGCTGTGATAAGCAGTCTAAGACATAGAGCTACCTAGGAAAGATTGCAAAGAAGTCAGATTTTTGTTTTTATCATAACTTTTTTCAATATCACTGTAATATCACCCAATATTGTAAGAATATTTTATGTGCATATTGCATAGAAGCAGGGGTATCTTCAAACATCAACAACCAGATACTAGCTTCCTATTAAGTGCACATACGGTACTTAAAGGCAATATAAAACATTATTTTTTTTTATTTTTTTTTACACATCCCCCCTCAATGGTGCTGATCTGCACAACTGGCCACATGGCCCACATAATCGAATACCTTCGGTTGGATTAGATTGACCTATTAAAAGTGAACCTCTATATATTTCTCCATAAATTCTCATCAGTTTTCCTATCCCTACTAAAGAAAATCCCCAAAGGATGGTGTGGCAACCCCCATCTTTGACCATGGAGTCAGTGTGTTTAGTATGATGTGAAGTATTGACAAAGTATGACTTCTAATGGATTTTTATCAAATATAGCTGTTTTAAGCACTCTTCTGTGAGGACCGCACTTGTTGAGCTCATTTCTAATAGTTGTCAACAGATTCTCTTACCTGAGCTGATTATCTCTTTCAAGGATTGCAGTGATATTGTGACCTTTATATTTATGTGTTTTAAAGGAAAAGTCCGGTCAGCTAAGAATAATCAATGGCTCATTATCTATACGTAAAACTAACACATTTGCTGTGATTTAATGAATTTAGTGTTAATCAGTAAAAACATAAAAAAATAAATTTTCATCTAGATCACTGAGTCAGGGAGCGGCCATTTTTGCCCAAATACAGTAACACCTTACTCCTGACATCTTCAAGCAGTGAAGTCACGGTGCCATAAGCTGAAGGTCATTCTCCTCGCTTTACAAGCAAAATCAATGGAAACTACTAGACACATCTTGAATCAAAAACAATAATTTAAGATTTTGAGAGGAGTTCACCATTAAAATTCACGAGAGCTATAAATAAACTGACAATGCCCACGTGCATGGCAGTTGGATATTGTAATACATTTGGTAAAAGTGAAAAAAAATGTGCTATTTCACCTCTACGATTCATGATCCTCCACAATCATTGGATTGCCACATAATATATAGCCAAGAAGAATGCTTTCAAGATGACTTGGGACTTGAACAAGAGCTGATACCACACTGTGACATCACAAACCAGTAGGTCACAATAGTATTGTTTTTTTTTTTGGTGTTTTATGGCACTAGTGGGTTGTTTTTTCGGACAGTAGGTCGACAGGAAAGGGGGAAAAGGGGGAATGAGAGGCGGGAGAGACATGTAGCAAAGGACCACAGATCACATTTAAACATGGGTTGGCAGTGTCGAAGACACCGCTACTGCCACCAAAGTATGCCTGGCAGTAGTGTTCTTTGACACACATGGATGTCTCCAGTAAAGCACATTCAAATGAAATTACTCTTAATTAAAAATCTTTAATTTATTTAGCGGTATGTAATAATATATATATTTAAAGTACTTTCAGAAGTTTCAGTTCTGAATATGACCGGACTTCTCCTTTAAACTGAACTCTGAGAGTGTGGAGCAATGAAAATTGCTTTCTAGCCTAACCACACCTTAAACCTCTCTACAACTACAACCCTTATCTGCAGCTATGCTCTTAGGTCTCCATGATGCTGTTTGTCCAGTAATTTTATTTAACAAACCTCTATAGCCTTGAAAAAAACAGCTAGGTAAAACACAGGGGGATTTTTTTTTCACCTGCAGGCAGTTAGTTGCACTAGAAATCATTCATGGGTAAAGTGTGTTTTTTGTTTCTTGTAGAAAAAATAAAAGGAAAGTGTGCCTCACACCTTTTAACCATTTCAAAGGTATTTAAAATAGTCACTTTACATATCAGTTATTTTATTACACATATACACCATGGTTTCATTATAAAGAGTACTATTTGTCCAAACATACCACTGAAGGCTCAATGGAAGGACAAAGATCTTTATATGTAGAAAATAATTATTAATGTTCCAGCCGCCGTAAGTTCGTGGGGATATGTACCTTTATTTGCCTTAATCATGTTTAGTTATACTTTAAGCAGATATGTACCATTCTTTTCAAAGCACATGAGAACAGATAAGGTTAGACACAGCTGCGAGAAAAGAGGCTTTGCTTTATCCCAAAAATGGTCACAAAAGTTTAACTTATTGCTTTGCAGACCATTCAGATTCTTCCACACAAGCCTTGTTCATACATGGTTCATGCATTTCACAATTGTGCACAGTCACGTTGATGAAAAAACAGGGCATTTCCAAACTGTTTCCACAAAGTTCTAAATATGAAAGTGTCCAAGATAAAACATTTAAGTTAAAAAGCTGAACCCAGCTCTTAAAATACCGTCTCACGCCATACAATCCCTTGTCTGCTCCATGTTTCACATTTGACAGCATCTAGTATTACAAGTGCTGTTCTTCTGACAACATATAAATCCATACTGGCCCGGTGGATTCCCAGACAAAGAGGCAGAATTTGTGACTCAGGAAAACATGGCTCCACCGATCGGGAGTCAGTGTCATGGTGATTTATACCACTGAATCTGGAGCTTTGCCAACCTGCTTTTGTGTTTAACCGCTTCCATGGCCGTAATGCCGGTGTTTAAACAAATATTCTTGATGTAGTTTATACAAACATATATTGTGCACTTGTAAAATTGCCTCTGAATAAATAAAGAGATCTGGAATAATGTATTTTTGACAGATGAAACCAATGTTTAAATGTTTGGTCATTAAACACATCAGCACATGCATTTCCTGCAAGCTATCAAGGATTGTGGTGAATATTATGATTTTGGCTTATGTTACAGCCAGAGGACCTGGATATTTTGCAGTCTTTGAATTAACCACATACTCTGCATTTTAGAGACTGTTTAGTAAATCATAGAGCAAAATAAAGACATCAGGTCAATGTGTTACAGTGGCAAAGCTAAATCCAAGTTTGGAAGTCATGTTTTTTAAGGCTTTGAACTCAAAGTCTGCTTGTCACTGTTCCATTTTTTTTCCTACTACACTGTGGAAGTTTTTATCTCTGTTACTTCTTCCTTGTGATGTACTTTCAGCTTAGAAGGCTCATCTAGTCCTACCCATGTGTACTTTAATGGCGTGTCCCCAATTTCCTCTTGAGTACCTTTACTTTTTTTTCAACATATTACCTGTATTTCTGTCCTAAAATCCACCAAACATGAAACGTGATTGAAACATGATGGGATCTTCCAGATAAGTTAATGCGTTCCGACCTCAGTGATGATTCCTCCAAAGGTGTGTCAAAATAAAATGTTTTTCCCATGGTATAGCAAAAAATAAATAATTATTTTATGTGGATTTAAAACCACAAAATTTGTCTCAGCTTCTATATATTGACAAGAATAAATTTTGAATACTGTTTGATATTTACATTAAAACAATGCATTCATTTTTTAATCAAAGAACTTCGTCACACTATACACATACAGTATGCTGCTACATTTAAACTGGCCTTGCCTTGTTTTACCCTGAACATGTGGTCTGATTTTTATTGGCCCAAGAAATCTACAAATATCTGCTTATATTTAATCTGTATTACACTGAACTGTAAATCTAAAATTATTGCACTTGTGGTTGAGTTTTAAGCCAACCTCTTCCTGTATCATAATTTGGTCTGTTGAACTTTGATTTCACAGATCCCAGATGACTTTTTCTTTTCTGAGGCCTTGTCTTTACTGTGCATCCTGTCAAACTCAACAGATATCTCCAGCGCCGTTCGATTTTTGGTCTCTGGCATGTTGAACCTCACATGGATCCCACAGATGAGGCAGGCAGCCAAAAATATAAGGAAGCAAAAATTACCCAGATTCTCCTGGAAAACGTTTCATTAATCAGTTAATTAACAGTCAAAGTCATCTGGACCTCAGGTAAGAAGGTGTACAGTTTAATGAAGTGATACTCACCACTAAGATGGGGAAAAGTGCCCCAAGGACAAACAGGCAGATCCAGTTAATAGTGCATCCGACTGTGTATCCGGCTGATTTAAACGACTGAGTTAAAATTTCCCCTGGAAGAGGCACTGTCGTTGCAGCTTAGGATCAAATAACAGAATAGGAGAAGATGTTACAGCAAGATTGTATTTCAGAGGAGTGCGAAATCTGCTTGAACATTGTAAAATACACATACCAGGTCCACTGGAAAAGAAGAAAATGAAGAGGAAAAAAAGAACCATACTGCAGTAAGGCATCCACCAGAAACTTTTCTGCAGAGAACAAGAAAAAAATCTTGTCATGTCACACAGATTAAATAAATAACAAAGAAATACGGATTAAATATCAAATGTTTTAGAAGCTCACCTGAAAATAAATAGTGACTGTAAGAACGCCCATAGTTGCAGCCATTCCCATGTAACCACTGAACAGCAAGACCTTTCTGCTCATACTCTCAATTATCATGAACTGCAATTATAAAGGAGATTTAAGAGCTTCACGCAATACTCAGCTGTCACAGCAAGGAGTTCAGTGACCACATGAGGGCCCTGTTGACACACATGTAGATAGAATAGTTTCAAATGAAATGAATGAGTTTGATATTTTAAAGGAAAGCTGTTTGTTTTTAGATTTACCTTTACTAAGTTATTCCTTTTTTAAATAATAATAGGCCAATATCAGTAAAAGTGAACTTACACACACTATAGAGGTGGAAACTTCACACAAGCCTGTTCCCAATGCAGCATATGCCAACTTGTTTTCTTTGATTCCTGCAGCTCGAAATACATCAAAAGAGTAAAAGTACACCTAAAAGATAAACAAAACAAAAACACACACATATTTTAAACCCCTACAATTGATTTAATATATTTTTTTTTGACAGGGCCCAGAATTGGCCAATTTTAGACTTGACCAGCAAATCATTGATCATCTAGTCAGTGATATTCTATAGATAGTCAGTAGTTGTTGCGGAAGTCGTTGCTAAAGGAAGATGTATTAGTAAGACATTTTATAAAAAGTTTAACAAAGTCATAGGATTGGAATTAGTAGGGTTCAAGACAGTTGATCTGTTTTACCTTTTATAAAACTCCAATTATGTCTGTCTGGATTTAGAAATGTGAGAGATATTTTATGGTAAAATAAGAAAATAGATGAGAAAAAAAATATGATCACAAGGGCAAAAGACAGTCATGAATATTACATCTAATTTAGTATACGTCTTGAAATAATATTGAAATGCTGTTTAACGTGTAACCATCTATGACATGTTTATTTCAAAGAAAATATTAAAAAAGCACCTTTGAAGATTGTCAGGATCTACTTATGACTCTGCAACCAATAGATGAACAGCAGCAAGGTCATCTCATAGCTTCCTCCCATCATAACATTATATGTGAAGTCATTAAAATCAATCATTTCTGTGTTAAATAGCAAATTCTGTTCGATGAAAATGTTGTAAATTAAACACTCTTAAATGCAACCAGACGCAAAACAAGCTAATCTGGCCCTGGAAGAAGAATGCAGGCAAGTGAAGGTGAGAGTGGGAAGCACAACTTCACAACTGCACAACTTCCAGATGTTTTATTTTTTTTTTATCATAATTCAAGTTATGTTTTCTTCCCAGTCAGATTAATTCCAATTCTCACAAATGCTGCTTCAACTAAAACAGTAAAAACACGTGGCAGAGAAGTCAAAACTAATATAGATGTGTAATGCCAACTACATTTTTAAACACACCGAGGGATGCCACTTTTGGCTCAAATGTAAATAATTTATGACCATTTGTCAAAGGCTTTTTAATCTCCCTTGCATTTAGAATAAATGATTAAACAAACTAAAACATAACCATATATGTCAAACTTTGCCTCTGAAATATTAGGAAGGACATCGCTGTAATTTTACAAAAGATTTTGTTGTAAAAATAAAAAACTCCTGAGAGATGCTGTGAGGAATGCAAAAGAAAAAAACATAGCAATGACTTTATAAGCCGTAATCCTTCTTGAAAGAGAGTGAATTTAATATGCAAAAGTTTCTTTTATATTTACTAATAGTTAAATTAGCCAAATTAATTGATGCCATTTCTAATTTTTACTGATTTAGAAACAAAAACTTTAAATTGAGATTGTTACTGTAAATAAGGCAGCTTAATTTTACTATATATTCTTTATTTTTAAGAAGGCCCAAATGATACTTTTTACACAAAGTAGATCCTTTTTATTTATGTTTATTTACAAAACGAAAAGTTTGGCAAAATTTGTCATTAGTGAAGTCAGTGAAGTAAACAACTTTATGCTTTAAAAGAAGAACAAATATAAAAAAGACTCATTGCATAGAAAGCAAATCACTATAGGCTGAGTCACAGCTAATTGTATCAAACAGAGTTTAACTCACAGCACTGATGCCATTTAGCTGCAGTGCAGCGAAAGCAATAACAATGGTGAGGAGCTGCCAGCGAACTCTTCGGTTCTGAATTAGCTCCAACACGGAGCAGTTTCCTATACCCTGGATTGCTGCTTTCTCCTCCAGCATCTCCTCGACTTCCTTGGTATAGTCTTTTTTACCCCATAGTTTCCTAAAAGCTATGCAGGAATAAAAAAAATAATTGCCTTTATATCCAACTGATGTTAAATACTAACACAGTCAATCTAAAATTGTATTCTTTGTCAGATTATTTAAGGAAAAGATCATGGCATATCAAACCCTTTTCAGCAGCCTGCAGGTTTCCTCTCTCCAGTAAAAGGAACCTTGGAGACTCTGGTAGGAGAGGCAGGGTGCAGAGCTGGAGGAATGCAGTGAAACCATTGAAACTAAGCAGCCACGGCCAATTCTTCTCTGAGCCAAGCAACTCTCTGTATAAGGGGAAAACTGACTTTGAGATGATGCAAGAGTCCAGCTACTGTATACACACTAGCTTTGCTTAAAATGCAAACTCCTGAAAATCGTTAACAAGCCACTGGAACGCATTCTTTTAATCAGTTATAATGAATCAGTTAGGAGGACTGGGGTAGAATTTTCAGAAGTTGATTTACTTAACATTTTAAACTAATGTGGAAAGTATAGTAGTCGTCAAAATTAAAAGGTTTGTAAAAACCTTAGCATAGAGTTGTAAATAAATATACATTTATCATATATAGTCATGAAAAAAATATTTTAATATGTTGGAATATATTAAACAAAAGTGAAGCTAAAACGGAAGAGCTGTTAAAAAGAAGTTCAATCACAAAACCCAAGATAGAACCACAGTGTATAAAAAGGATGATAAACAGGGTGACACTATGAAATATAAAGATGATGAAAATATGGCTCAATGTATCTTTGTATAATAACTGCATAGAATTTAAAAAACAGCATAAAAATACTGGTTCAAGAAATATAAAAGTTTTTGTAGTCATAGGTCATATATAACATTTTCTATAGATGTGATATTCAAGAAAATGCACATGTAATGCCTTCATTGTGAAGGATGCTAACCTCTGCTTTTTGCTGTGTATTGATGTGAATTCAGCATGTTGAATGTAAACACAAATTTAGATGAATTCTTTATCTGTAATGCCCCTGAGATAAATTTGTGATTCACTCAATCTTCTAAAGATTATGTCACAAAGAAAACAGTGTTTTTCTAACTTAGCCATAAATAAATTCATTGACTTTTTAATGATAAATTATACATATTTATATTCTAAGATCTGACATCACAACAACTATCAACTCAGTCAGAGTTTCAATGTGACAACATTGCATTAAACACTGACAATAATAAAGTTTAGCCTAAATAATCACACAACAAGTATTTAAAATACTTCCACGCTCTCTATGCATTATCAACTGGTAGTATTTATATATCTTAAGTAGTATTTTGTCTGTGGTCTTTTAGCCAGCAGTCAGTGGTCATCCAAGGAGAAGGAGAATCACACATCTTTCTAAAGTGTTACCTTCCCAGGTAACAAGAAAGGGTCATTATGTTCTGCAAAAAATTTTGCCTCACCTATCACTTCACCCTTATAAACTTTTATATCAAAATTTCCCTGCAAGGTGAATACCTGCATTATTTGTTTCTTCACAAACACACAAGAATTGATCTTGTACAGCCCCAGCTTAAACTGTTCAAGACCTGAAAATGTGTCAGCCAATCCTGTTGCAGTACTGTGATATAATGCACAGGAGGATGTATGCATAGCTGCTGCTATTACGTCTGGTTTTTCAGAAGTAACTATTTCCTCTTTGAAAGAGGAACAGCACATTAACATACGTTATTTGACTTTTTCATGGCCTCTGCTGCTATTTCATTCATAACCATGATTGGCTATACTCAAATCTTAATCAGTAGAAGTTATGACAACTCACCTAATTCCTAGCAGCTGACCGCAAAACTTTCCGAAGGATAAAAAGGTTGCAATGGTGACACCAACCATTCCTTTCAGCTTTTTTGGTGCAGATTCAGTGAGATACATGGTTTGAGCTGAAAGACCGACCCCTGTACACAAAAACAAATAGTAAGACATGATTACTATTTACAGGCAAACTACAGCTAGTGGTGAACAAAAGCCGAATTCTAAGGTGGTTTACCTGAATTGATCCCATAGAGAAATCTCCCCACGATTATCATCTCGAAAGAAATGGCTGTTCGACTCAAAAGCATCAATATGGCTCCAAATATAGCCAAAAAATTATTTAACAGAAGACAACGTTTTCTAAGGGAAAACAAATGCCAGTGATCTCTGCACCATCAACAACACAAAATAACCACACTGTAACTGTATACCGACCTGCCAAATCTGGAGGTGAGCGGACCGGACATCAGTGATCCAATTAATCCCCCAATGCAGAATATGGACACTGTGAAAGACCAGATGAGCGAGACCTCCCACTCCTCCAAGATCCGGTCATATCTGTGCAAACAACTTTCATTCACCATCTCCTTTATAAACTACAATAAGAAAACACACAGGTATTCATCGGTTAAATGCATAGAAAATTGACCTTTTAATATTGTTTTAAATTTCACATATAAAAAACATATCGATACACTCTTTTAAACCATCTCACTTACAGCAGAGGGGGATGTCATCACAGAAACACTGAATCCATATTGAAAGGTCCCCCCGATGCTGCAGATGAAAATGGCAGCAATGAGGACGGGAGAGTCTAGCTGCAAATACACACACACAAAAAAATATTAAGCAAAACTGGACTGTTATGATCAAAATGTAATGTTCAAAAATAGTTGTTTCAGCATTAAGAGGGAAAAGACAATCAGTGAGGAAAAAACATGACCGTCTCCTGATGCGAGGGAAATCACAATGACTATAGCTTGTTAGATAAAATAAAAAAACTGTTATGAAGTGAAATTCCCATAAGAAATGTAAGAACAAAAGACTGGTGGAGAGCAAACAATAAAATAAATGAATTTGGATCTTTTCAGTTCCTCTTTTTCTACAGCCTTAATTTACTATATTTTGTACAACATCAACAATGTCACTTAATTCTTATGCAACACCAACCCTTCAGTGCAAAGTGTAAGTAAAAAACTGTCTGAAACCATACTATACCTTACCAAATGTATGTATACAGCACTTTAAACACCCAACAAAACCAAGGTGCTATATACAATCATAAGATACAAATAGTCAATAAAAAAAAAATAGATAAAGTGCTATACAAAAGTATTAATAAAATAAAAAGCAGTAATAATATAAGAAAAACAGTGGAAAAAAGTGAGGATCTCAGATTGTATCTAAAGTCAAAGTAAAGAAATGGGTCTTAAGAAGAGATTTAAAATAAAAAAGTGAAGAGTCATTCCACTGCTTAGGAGCTGCGACAGAAAAAGCAGGGTCCCCTTTGAGCTAACTTTTTGTTTTTGGCACCCTGAAAAAGAAAAATGTTTTTAGAAATAACTTACGAGGAGCGTCAAATGTTGTGGCATGGTTGGAGTCTGTTGTGTGTCTTCTCGTTTCACTTGCTTTCTTTAAGTTTGTGTTGTAACTAGGTGCTGAAATTATTAACTTTTGTTTTGGGACAAAATGACATGACATTCACTTTTTCAGCCGGTCTACACTTGTGAGGAAAAAAAGAAACCACTCTGAGCAATTTCTCTGCCTTAAAATGTAGAAAACTCCTCTCAATTCAGAACCAACAACAAAGGAAAAAATGGTTCAGGATCAGCCACGAACGCAGCGCACCCCAGGCCCATCAGGCTCACCTCAAAGATTCTCCATCTTTGAGGTGGGAAACCACAGTAAACCACAAAATGCATTTTAAAATGAGAAATTTATATATATATATATATATATATATATATATATATATATATATATATATATATATATATATATATATATATATATATAATGTCATTTTACTGTCTGTGTACTGCTCCAGGCTGATCCGCACTCCCTATTGTAGCAGCACTTTAGAGAGAGAGAGATTAAGGAATGGAGGAGGGAAAAAGATAAGGTGGAGTGTTGGAAAAACAGTGTAGACAGACGTATGATGTGAGGAGCGCATTTCAGAGCACATTTTTATGTTTGTTAGAAATATCATTCAGTAATGTTCTGACAAATAAACATTTGATCATTCATTAGCAATCAGATTTTGATTCTAGTTTTCTCTACTTCAGGGTAAAGATTGTTCAGGAGGTAAACAAACAGCATTTTGTACGATCATGGGGGGCTACTGTAACTCTAAATTTATTAAACATAAACACTAAAAAAGTGTGCATGTTTGGTTTCCGTTTGTAGGTTTTACTGTCCTTTCATCAATACCGGGGTGTCTGTCTCTGCTAAAAAGCCAAAAGTTTGTCCCAGTCAAGCCCTGATTTAATCCCATAACATTTAAATTCATCAAACAGATCCGTTTAACCTGTGATGTTAATTGAACCCAAATCTTAAATATTACATATCTAGTGTTTTTTCTCATTCCCTCTTATTTGTTTAAAGAATTAAAGTCAGTTCTAACTCCATTGACTTTTATCATTTAACCAACCCTGTTATAGTCAACCTTTTTACTCACTACACCATCATACATTTATGTTTTAAACAACAGATATTTGACTAATATTTGTTGAGGATAAATAGAAAACATGAAATCATTACCTTAAAGTGTATTTTCAGCTGGCACAAATGTAGCCACGTTCTACAAAACATTATAACTTAGAACCAGATCAAATAAACCTGTAAGATCTTTTACACTAGAAAGAAATTATAAAAATGCAACTGGGAGAATTTGTTTAAGTATCTCTAAGAGCTGTACAGGTGCTAAAAAAGGCAAAAGATTTTTTGGGGGCATAGTTTCTTGCAGCCTGAGAACCTAAAGCACACGGAACTTGGAAAATAACCCCTCAAAAAAGCACTTGAGATATTTAAAAAGCAATCTCCTTACATCTGTAAAGCCGCAGCTGTGGGGTTAGTCTATCAGAGGCTCTGCCTGAGTGAAACAACTTATTCAGGTCCGGGCAGGAAACACCATTTGTTATGGAAAGCTCTGTGTTTACACCTTGAAGCTTTCTTTCTCTGGTTGTTTTCCTGAGAATGGATAACTCTTTAAGTAACCCTTCATAATGTATATGTATTAAATGTATTAAACCATGAGACATGACATGGGATTTGGACAGAAATTGTAATCTTACTCAGACAGAGAATTTGCTTAGAGTTACAGAAGGCAGTTCTTACCAACCGGGCTCAAATCTTGTTGAAGTGGCCGAAAATCACAGTTTAAGAAGCATTTTATACAACTCCAGTATGCCTCATCATGACATCATAGACGTTTGTAGATGAGGAGACATCCATGGCTCCAGCCTTATCAAAATATTACACCATGTTTTTAGATCAAGGACACTGCTCTCCCTCCATTCCCAATCTACTGAAGATGACCTTTCATCCTGACAGAGGAACTGTCCTAATAAGATAAACTACTTGGAAAAACATTAGTTTAGACACGCAACATGTGGTTATTATCAGGGTTTAACAGGCTCACACATCATCAATTAAAATAATCCGAACAGTGACAAAGCAGAAAGGTGTTGATATTGTGCTTTAATACAGATGCATTTACCTCATTAATAGATCCTTCGTGTTTTGCTATTTTTCACACCTGTATATTTTAGATCTTCAAATGTAGTTTGATCTTTTACTAATATAACAAAAATAAAAACAAAATGCAGTTTCTAAAGAATGTATTTTTTTGTGGAATATCTTCATAGTCCTATGTTAAACAGTAATCACATACTAATTATGATTAACCACATGTCCTGCTCAAATTCACAAGCTATACCCAAACCTTATTCCTGGAAGACTGTTGAGCATAAAGGAGGCTAAAAGATCTTTAAAACAATATTTTTTGCAGTGATCTGAAGAAAAAGCAGAACAGAAACAGAATCGCTGACATCTTTCAGCCTTGAAAGGGTTACTAAGGCCTTTGACTCAGCCAAATTAGAGCAAGGCATTATCTACAGGGATTATTTCAGGAGTAAATCAACCACTTATCCAGGAAATCACAAAATAATCAAAAAAAACATTTTGAACACTACAGGCTACACTTGCCTCTATTAGGGTCAGTGTTCATAATTCAACATTATGAAAGGACATCATTGTTTTTACTAAGATTTGTATTTCTCTGATATGAATGGCTGCCTCCTCAATGCTCCAATTATCATGCATGACACAAATGCATAAATAAATGTAATCTGTGAAAAGCAGAGCACAATGATACTGGTATCTCTGTGTTTGTGCTCACAGATTCCCAGAGGAGATTGTTAATCATTATTCCAAGACTCTCTTTAAGAGAAATAGTTATTTATTGTAAGAATGAATCCTACAATTTTTCAAACAGAGATATGAAGTTATTTGTAGAGTCATAGACTTTCTTTGACTTATTTTATGACTGATATGTTTAAATCCAGTTTAATCTGAAAGGTGTGTTATCTATTTCTAGGTGTAATGTAAAATGATGTTAAGGAATAAGGTTTTAAAAATTCTAGTCACATAAGATTTAGGATGAGTTTTTATTTAATGAGGACAGAGATATCCTAAGGTGTTGCTTTGAGTTGCCAAGAGGATTCTGTGTTTGGGCCAAAAATAGGCCAAGTAAAAACTAACTTTACAATTTGCCATTAAGAGAGACACAGTGTTCAGCAGTGCTGCTGGCTGGAGTAAATTGGAGCTTCTCAAGTTTCCCTGTGGCGAGAAAAGAAAGTATATTTTTTAGAGCTTGAAGATTAAGGATAGTAACCTGGGGGTCTTTGCCGATCCCGGTTTAGTGTTAGTCCCAGTTTAATACCCTTTTCTGATTCTGATCACAGTCACACAGATTAAAAAAAAAAAAAGAACCCTTTTGGCAAGGCCCAGTTTTTCTTTCCAGATGTCACACTTTCACACACATAAAAAAAGAACCAATAAATAAACAGACAAAACAACACTTGAAGTTACTTTTGATTCTACATTTAGGACAAGAAATACGGAATAATTTCTAGTTCCTCAAGTTGGACAGTAATGAGATTTAGCCGGCAGTCAATATCTAACCTTATAAACTCAGTTCATTAAGTCTACATCTTATTTTTAGGAATAAAGAGTGATTAATATGATCCAGATTAACTCTCACCCATGAAACTGTGCACCACCAGTGCCCATCAATTCACTACAAGCATCTAATTAGGCACAGATTAGGCATTATTTTAGAGTCAGATGGAGGAATTAAACACCTGAAAGGGATAATAAAGATTGTCATATATTTGTTTTTTAATTACATTAATCCCCTTTTGTACTTCCCTTTCCATTTGGAGAAAATTGTCTAAAAGATTTAATTAAAACTATCTTTGAAAGTGCTTACTCTGCTTAATTAGGTTCAAAGCTACAACTTGTTGTGAGTGCTTGATAACTGTGTTTAAAATCAGTTCCCGTCCATTATTGGACCAAATATGATTAACTTTAACCATCATGTTGATAACACATTTGCATTCATAAAAATACACCTACAGTAGCTCTTTTAGATGGCAAATTATTTCAACACGTCAACATAATGTGATATTTAATATGCAAAGCAACTACAAAGATAATTTATGTTTAAAAAGGGGGAAAAAATTATTTTCTAAAATGTTGTTTCAGAAGTCTTGGAACCATTACACAGTATTTCACCCTACTTTGGCAAACTGTCCATTGATTGAATTTCAGCACTTTATCTTCTTTGGTAGGAGTCTGTCAGCGTCCATCATCTTTACTTCATGTAATCTAGGTGGAAGTTCAACTGTAGAAACTAATTGCTCTCCTATATCCACCTGCGACACAGCCAATTAGCTTTGAACCACACCTCCATGAAAACCAATCGGCATCCAAAGTTCATCTTAAAAGGCCTCCGATCCACTTGTGTGTTCCTTTGCGCAGGGGGTGGATGCGCTGTATGACTTCATTCAGATGACACCGTTTCAACCCACTTCCAGTCCCTCCTCCACCATCGTAGCTAAAGCTTCATCAGAGAGTCATTCCTTCCGGACTCTTACTGTGTTCCCTGTCTCATCTCAACCGGTCCAGCAGAAGACCACCATGTTGAGCCTGGTTCTGCCAGAGGTTTCTTCCCATTGGTGAGTTTTTCCTCTCCACTGTCGCTTCATGCTTGGTAATCATGGACAGGTTCTCTCAACCTGTGTTATCCAACTGGACTTCCATCTTCCAAGTACCTGAGTGAAGCTCTAGTATCAGCACAAGCAATCCACTGGATCTCCCCATAAAGCTCAGCAGACCGTCTCGCTAACCAGCAGTCTATACACTGACCAACTTCATCTATCTCCACTCCACCACCAGTTTAAGGCCTGGGGAGGAAACAATCCTATTCTTTACTCCTGTTCATGCATATTTATCAGAATTAAGTGCTATGTTTCCTGCCGAGGTCTGAGTGCCAAAGACAAAGTAATTGTATCAATACATTTCTCCTAAT